TATATTAAGAGAAATCGTGTTTTTTGTGAAAGATCAAATTAAATTTGTTATTGTAAAAACATTATAATAGATGTAATAATAATTTCGTTAGGAGCTTTATAGAAATATGTGTAGAACGTACATATGTATAAAATTTCAAATTAAGAAAATATAGGTTTCTAACTCGGGTGATGTATGTCATTGAATCCCGTGAAATACAAAACAAATTTTTCACGTACAAGTGTGCTTCTATAAAAAGTCACAAATATTCTGAAGGATATATTGTTTAAATAATACTTTTATAAATTATAAATAATATAATTATTGTAAATAACTATAGTGTACAAATTATAAGTTCATGTAGTTTAATACGCGTTATGAAAACCAAAGTACAAGAAAAATAAAAAACAGAAACGTGTTGTAGACGAGACGTGTGAAACAATGAATTTGACAAATTGTTTCTATCATTTTTATGGTTGATTTGGTTGAAAATCCTTTAACACGTTCGTTGCCGCCACCGCCGCATGTACAGCACAGAATGACTTAACCACGTGTGCTACCGCCGACAGTGTGTTGACGATCGGTCACTACTGGGACATCAAAAGTCGATACCGTCCCTGTGTGATCGACCACTACACCACTACGAAAACCCTCGTGAAAATCACGTGTTTGAATAAGAGTTACGAATTGGTGGCACACGACATGTCCCTCACGATTTTCTGATAGCAACGAATGTGTTAAAGTTTCCTTTAGGTTTTAGAATCAGTAATGCATTAAAGTTATTAGATATTGTACATTATCAGATTTATTAAAATTCCATAGTAATCTTTCTTTTTCACTAAATCAATGACTGCGAGTGACATTAACCCTCCATTACACGTGTCGCGGAGTGGCAGTGCTCAAGTTCGTTTTGTCCTCACAAACTAGATAAATAGTATCTAGCGTCACGACCTTCCCCAGCTTTAATATATGCTTAAAAACATGTTAAATGATAAATAGAGTAGTAAAATAAATTTATAGAGGATTAAATTGTATAAAATTTTACGGAAATATTTATGCGAGGTATACGGGATATATGATAATAGGTAGGAGAAATTTTGAAGAGTGACTGACTGTACACGATAAAATGAGATAAAAATCAAACTGACAAAATTGTGATCCAGACTCCTTTCTTTAGATGTAGTCACTTCAAAAAAATCGCCTAGAAAATTCCTGAGCTTCAGCAATTCGTCAGACCAGTCGGCTGATATACTAACAGTAATACAAAATTTGTCCTAGCTTCGTCGAGATAAAGCAGTAACTTTACCTCACGGTTTTCGACAACTATTACGATTTTGTATGACAAATTGTTGAACCTTAGATCCTGCGAAAGGAGCCCTTCATTGTAGTTTTGTCATTTTTGCTTTTTGTTTTATTTCGTCATGTAAAATCACTTGAAAATTTCTGCTACCTGTTGATGGATATTCTAGACACAGGGCTTAGAGAATCAAAGTTCTACATTATATCAATTTCCTTCATATGTCGTCATCCTCAGTTTCGCGTAGCTTATTTGGAACAACCAAAAATTACGTAGTTATTTCAACTACAATGGAATTAAAAGCGAATATCCAAAAGACTACGGGTTTAATTAACAAAAGGTTAAAGTGATCTTCATATTTTTCTTCGTTTTGTTTGTCAATTAACATTTATCAACTGTAATTCTTCCTGCTTTTAACAAAAGGGTTGAAAATATTCAAAATTGCATTCGTTATTAGTTTACCTTAGAACACATCGAATGCATAAAGTGCTGCAAATTGATAACCAAAAATAATAGTAAGTTGATCAGAATTCTTTTTATGTTGTGTACGATATCTGTAAATTATATTTTTTCCAACAAGAAATGTTCATTCACATCTCTAAGCTCCTAAAGTCAATAGTATTTTTTAAATCGTAATATATTGAATTTTTGTTTTATTTTTTAAGTGTAAATATTTGAATCAATATTATTGGTTCATGTTGATTCATATTATTGATTTTTTCAATAAATATTATTTGTATTATCTGTATTATAAAAGTTATCGAACACCGGTATAACACATGTAACATGTAAGGAGTTTTGGTAAATTTTATCGTGAAACGAAAGATAATGCTAGGGTATAGTTATCGTATTTTATCGTCTTAAGAAAGAAATTGATTAATTCAGCAGTACTTTATCGTTCTTATATTTCCATATCCCTTTTACTACGGCAGCGATCGATCGGGCAACAATTGCAGATATGTACTTGTGTAGAATGTTATTGTTGCGCCTCTTAAAAGCAAACATATTGTTAAGTTGTTCAATCATTCTAGTGCATTATCTAGAGAATCTTTCGCGAATGATTAAAGTCGGCACTAGTACTTACAAAAGACGCTTCACAAAATAATGACTATAATCGACGTCAGTAGCGAAAGGGGTATTATTATACATATATTCTATGATCAAAATATACGTTAATCATACTAATCTTGTTTCGTTTCGTTTCAACTTTCATTACGCTTCAACATGTTGCTTCGAATCTTCGTCTTCGTCGTTTCGCCACGCAACCTGCACAACGCATTCTGCGTGTTCATCGTACGCCATCACGACTCTCTTCATTTCTATGCCCGTTGCTGCAGACCCGAATTTTCTCCTTTCAGACCGTCTACGGATCCATCGTCGACGTCGTCGCACAATGCTCAGAATTCGCACCTCGAAGGTAAGCCGAAAGGTAGGACATCGAACAAGAATTCTTTGTTCTTTTCATACAAGTCTGTGTGTGCCTGCGTGAGTGTACGTTGTAGAAGTGTGAAGATAAATTATACGGATCTAAAATTTCTGCACCTCTATACTTCGTTGCCTTTTAATAATTCGTATAAGTCAAAACAAATTCCTTACGACAAAAGGTTCTTCATCATCGAGAATTGGTTTTTGAAATATGAACAATTCAAAATTTTATAGTCTAGATTTGTAAGAAGTTATATAAACTATTTGGATTTTTATTCCAAATAAAATGCATAGAATTTATATTCATGAAAATTCGATTCTTTGTGTACTTAACAAATTTTCTAATTACTTACTTATATGTATACATATAGCTTTGTGGCTTATTGAAATAAAAATCGTAATTTCCTTATGTTTATTTAGACTATTCGTATATTTTCAAGATAAATTGATAGAGAAATTAATATTTCGGTTTTATCTACATTTTTATAATTACATTTGATAATTATGTCTAAACTTTCTTGATTGACTGTATGATTATTCGAACTGCTTTTGTACAGTTAAAACTTTTAATGAAAATTTTGAAAAATATTTTGCTGAATAATATACCGAGTTTAGGAATTATAAAAAATCAATGGTTTATATATGATAATCTGAGTTTAGAGTCTTTCTAGTAGGCCTTAGACTGTAGAATATATTTAAACAGAAAATATGAAAGTCCTTTCTGGTGCACTTATGTGTTTTTTACATAAGTAGAAAAACAAATGTATGTAAGTGACAGTCGAAAGTTCGACGTAAATTAAAAATTTAAAGAAATTGTGATCAAATCTACGTTTGTTGAATTATAATTTTAATTGGTTTTCATATATGTTTTAATTGCTTACTTTTAAGTTTTCATGAATTCCAAATTGCAAAGCAAGCATTGCTTTGAAACTAAACACAATGCTTAAAAGTTAATTATTACGTCAATTATCAGTGAGAAATAATTGCAACATTAGCATTGAAGTGGAAATGCAGCATGAATGAAATAAAATTCCTGTGAAAATCCTGCATGTACTATTTGTTGAAATTTCAAAAAAGTTATTGAAACTTACTATTGTCCAATGTTTATAGGCGGTCGTGAAATGTGATTATTTTTGAGAAGATTTGCAAGAAGAGAATGGGATGTCTGGGGTGGTAGTAGTAGCAATAGTAGTATTTATAGTAATTGAAAGCATGAGAGCAAGGGACGGTTTTTTCACCAAGAGTTTTGCAAGATACTATTTTTCTTTCATCTCTGAGCTAAAGTCTATGAGATAGTGTCAAAAAGTTTCCAAACTTGCTCTATAAAAAATGACAGACTAACCTAAGATTTGAGTGGCACCCGTTCCTCTCAAAGTATTCCTCTTATGAGTTGATACAACGATTCTAGCGATTTTATCATTGTTGAAACACCTTCTGAAAGTCTTCTTTCTTCGTGTCCTTCAGTACAATCCTCGTTTCTCCCAAAATCTCTTCAACTGTACCGAATCTTCACCCTTTAAGATACGTGTTTATTTTAGGGAAGATGAAAAAGTCACAGATGGGTAAAATCAGGAGAATAGGGAAGGTGAGGAATAACCATATTTCATCTTCTTTAGAATGAAGATTTTGCAGAACTACAGTTTAAGAATGCAGAATATTTGAAATGTCTCTTGTACAAGTAGACATAGCATTTAACTCCCTAACTCTCTAGCTTTCGTTATTTTTTACTCTGCTCTCTAATGTGCTTTAGAAAAGAAGCTGCAAAGAGATAGTAGCAGTAAGAGATAGATAGTAAGATATATTCCTTAGCTTTACTGGGACTATTTGAGATCTAGTACCGCAACTCCAATTTTTCAGAACCATGTTACCTAACTGGAAAACTGGGAAGGGAATTTGGAACATCGAGTCATTCTCGTGCTTGCAACTTAGATTTAGCGACCATATCCACTAGAATCATCCTCAATTATAAATAGCTTTTCTACAGAACTCCTTTCTCACTCCCTTGTCCTAGGTCCAAATGATCTGGGCTTGTTCTCTATTGGTATCTACAACAAATCTAATTCACTCTGTGAATGATACACAGAGGCAGAACAAGGAGGAGTAAAAAGATCATATGTAAATAGAATGGGTGGGGAAGATGTTTTGCTTAAGTTTTAACTTCTTAAATGTTTAAAGCAATCTAACAATATATCCGAATTCTGTTAGGACGAAATACATAGTCCCTAAATAATAAAAATTATGTAGGAAATATTAGATTAGGTACGTTAGATTAGGTTAGGTCGAGGTAGGCTAAACTGAAATTGTTGAATCTCTGATTCCAGTAGGTAGAAAATGTTCATGCACTCACAATTGATGCTCCAGCTGAGTGGTGTCTCGCCTATACAGTAAATCCACTGGAATAACAATTAATATACAATGCCGCTGACTAGAATAGTCTCGGTTAAAAATATGTTAGTTTGGGTAAATAGATAATAATAGATGTTATGTAACATTTTTAATTAGATATGTATGTAATATGGACTAGCAGATAGCATTTATTTCTATTGTTGTAAATATTTTTGAGTATTATAGCGTTCTTGTTGTTGAACGAACGAAACTAGTGTCCACATGAATAGCTTCACTTGTTTAAACGCGTTCAGTTAATGTTTAATCGTAAACCAGTGCAGAAGCATCGTTCAGCAATAGTTCTACAATGATATGAAAAGTCTCATAACCACTACTTTTAATATTAGTATTACCATTGAGCTAATATGAGTCGCAGAATTTCTAGTGTGGAAGAAATTGGAAAAGCAAAAGCTTTAAAGAAGAAAGACATACATACCAAGAAATTAGAAGGAAAATCAATAGAAGTGCTTAAGTTATTAATATAACTATCTAATTTATAAAACCTCTGAAAATTAGGGGAAAAAATATAAAGGAAAAGGAAAGAAGATTAATTTTGCCCAATATTTTTAGTTTCGCAGTTTCTGTTAAGAAAAGTAAATATGAAGTTGGAATAACAGTATCGATTTCGGCTATTAAACGAATAATTGAAAGTGTTCCATATGTAAAATTTACAAAAATTTACAGAAAATTAGCGTTATGTTAAAGCTTGTTTTGAATTTTGGGCAAATCTTCATAAATTGGATTGATCAGTGGCATAAAGTGAATTTTGCGGGCGAAAAGAAGTTTAATTTAGATAGACTGATTAGATATGCATATTATTAACACGATTTATGGGATAAAGAACGAAAAATGTTCATTTTGATTTATGTCGCAGAATTTTACGAATGATTTTTATGGTAGAATTCTCAGGACGGAGCCATAAAATAAAATTAAACGAAGATAAGTGTTTCAATTTTGCAAAAGAATATATTGTCCTACACAGTGAAAAAATGAAATTGAAAAAAAAAAAAAAACAGAAATTCAAAGTGTAAAATCTACAAATTTTTTCAGTTTAAGATGTTAATAACAAATCATAGTTTGTAATATTACCTATAATTTTGACTGAATACGTCCATTTGTTGTTAAAATTAAGACGTGAAATTTTCTTCATTGAAATCAGTGTATTTCAAATATCTGCCATTCACAGACCATTTGTGTTTTTGATTTGATTTTTGTAGGTTGTGTTTAGTATCTGAATACCTTTGAAGCTGACCCAGAATTTTAATACAATAGCAATAAATTTTCCTGATTGTTCATGTAAAATTTTTATCAACTTTAACGAGACTTTTAAAAAATGTACCGAATAGTACCTCTGTGATTTTTTATTTATTAATGTCAAATTTAACTGCACAAATTTGCACAAAATGAAGAAAATTGTCAAAATTGTTATTGACGCCTTCGGTATTCTAGCGTCCTATTCTTAGTATTTATATTGTTATTTATTTTTTTAGTATTTACATGGTTATTAAATTTTTATTATTATTTATATTGTTATTTAACTACCTAATAAAAATTACAAAAAAAAAGAGATATTGAATGTATACAAAGTTATATTTGTCTCTGAAATCCCTGTATGCGAAATGGCGTTACGATTTTTCCGGTATTTCCGCGAAACTGATGAACAAATTTTTCAAACAGAAGTTAGTCAGTTGACAATAAATTGTGTTAATAGAAATTTACAAAAAAGTTTTTATTCGATAAAAAATAAAGATCACTACAATTTTTTCAAATGAAACCATATATTTTTTTATGTGCCATCAATGTATATTTAAATTCTCTTCAAAAAAGTATTACAGAACTTAGGTCGAAAATTGATTAATTTAGAAGTTATGATTTTTGTCCCGGACGCCCATATACTCGAAACACTGTGCGTCGGTTTGTTGTATATTGCAAACTTGGATCGCGATGTGAAAATATGTAGAGGAAGTGCAGCATACATATTTAGAATATCAGTTTGTTTAAGGTGAATAAAAAATTACGGCAGAGGATGGAAACCAATAAAACTGCATAATACCATAGGAAAACTAATAAATCTTTATATTTCAAATTCTCACTAATAATGAAGAACAAAAAGTACTCGAAACTTTGGTCTAATTGAAAAAGTGACACAAAGTAACGATTTGGTTATGGTATAGGTAATTTTCACTTTATAAAATTAAAAAAACAAGTATATTATAAAATTATTTTCTCTTATGATCTAATCAGGCACAAAAATCACAGCATAGGAATAATCATTTTAGGTAAATATCAATGCTAAGTCTTGAAATTTACTTGCAGTAGTCACAGGAGTAACTTCCGGAGTAATAACCAGCTCATTCACATTGTACCCACATTTCACATATAAAGCACTGCACTCACTCTTATCCTCTTTTGTCTTCGCTGCAGTAATTCACACTACAGAAGAAGCACACAGCATCTTAGTAGGTTTTCCTGTAGCCTCAAATGTCAAACTTATTACATTCATCTTCACAAATCATCTTAAAATTTCATGTCACATTTTGTATTCTGCAATATTGACACGAAACCATAGAAGTACTATGCAAATGAGGAGATGAAATGATTTACTCTAAATTTTTTACA